CCTAATAATAAAGATTTACTACATGAAAATATTATTATATTAAGCCTATAACATATTATAACTGTGAATAAGATATTAAGTCATAAACATATTATAACTGACATTTGAGAAACTTTTGTATGTTTTACCGTAAATAAAACTTGAAAATGTTAGCACATCTTAAAAATTCTTTAAATTAGTTATTTATCTTAGAAAACTTTAAAAGTATATTTTTTATAACATAAACAATACAATAAGTTAAAAAATTATGTTGTTTTCAATTTGTTACAAATAAAAAGACATTGCACTTTGTTTTTTCAATTTGTTACAAATTAAAAGACATTGTCTCTTTATTTAATATTGCCAATGCACTATAATTTCTACGCTGCTGACCAAGTAAACGAAGTTTCTTCAATTACAGGAACAATTTCTTCCACATTTTTATCCTCGAAAATTGTTTAAAGTTTTTGCAATATTGTGCAGTATAAAGTTCGCAGTGATACATGTAGCAATCATCTTCGGCTTAATTTTTACCTATAAAATTATCACACCGCAGATACTGTTGAATCAACAGTAACTGTATAACAACAGGGATGCGGAATCCCAAAAAGAACTACGGATATGAAAGGCACAAAAAGATTATTTCTTCCTTGTTTTTGGTTTCCAGGAGCTCTAAAAATATTAATAAGTTTATGGACTACTAATAGGAATAAAATTAAGACTTTTAGGTAAGAGGAACAATAATTTTTTGAACCTGGAGTCTTTGCGTATAATGGCGGCATGGACTCCGGGCTTAAAAACAATAAGTTTCAAGTCATTAAATCTCGCGAATGTTTTACTTATAGCAAATCGTAAGTCAACAAACATGTTTTGAGCTTCTGGACACTACAGAATTGGAAAAAGTAGAGATATAAAGCCGGAGTCCTTTTGGGACTTCGCATTCCTGCTGTTGATTGAATCAAACACTTTTCTATTATTAAGCTCTTCAGCAAATTCTCCATAGGGTTTATCAATTCTTGCATGGGTGCAATCAATAGCTCCTATTGTACAGGAATAGCCTCTTTCGTTTGCCCATTCCAGTTTTGCTCTTAAAATTTGTTCTTCCGTATGTGGGAAAACTATATACTGAAAAGTCTTAATCAAAATTTTTTGAAGCGTCAAAGAGATTTTAAAACAGTATTGCTAAAATTATATTCCAAAAAAATAAATGTATCAAAAACGTGCTAGTATAATTATAAATAAATGCATAACGTAAAAATATATAGATATATACATCAATAGTCAAAAAATAGTAAAATATATAGGTAATATAACAAAATCAATGCCCGATTATCAAAAAAAAAAAGCAACTATTATAGGTGCTCGTAAATTTAGAAGCAATTGGTCGCCGTTTTTTGAGTTAAAGCTTTTTTATTCACGCGCTTTTCTCATATGTGAGCAATCGCTAAACATTTGAGCAAAAGCTCATGAGTAAAAGCTTTCGCGATAAAAAGAGCAATTGCTCAAAATTTTTATTCACGTTAAGTTGAGCAATTACTCCAAAAAGGCCGAGTAAAAGCAATTTCTCTTTTTTATTCACCCGGCCTATTGTCTCAAAGTTATTTTGATCAAAATATAATTTTTGTCTGACGTCTTTATAAGATATTTTTTCTTAAAAGTTAACATTGCTCTAACGCCTTTACGACGTCATTTAGCTCTAATGTAACGTTGTTACAACGTCATTTTTACATCGTTGCAATTATGTTAGCAAATGACCTTTTTCCGCTGTTTCATTTATAACATCATACCATCGTCTTTCCAATAGGCGGGTCAATAAAAAAAAAGCAATTGTCTTTACTCAGTAAAGCTGAACAAATACTCCAAAAACGCTGAGTAAAAACAATTGCTTTTTTTTAATCACCCGGCCTAATGATACGGAAAACGTTGGAACAACGTTGCTCCAACGTAACGTTTCTTATTGATTTACGGAAAATAAATAGCATGTTGTTGTTTGCCTTGCTGTTGTTGTTGACAAGTCTTCAGCTTTTATAAGTATTTTATAAGTTATATACAAATAGCTAAATAAAAAATGTATATGAATGGCTAAGAAAAGTTTTATTTGAAAGTGTAAATAAAATTGATATCAATGGAAATCTGCTTATATTGTCAGCCATTTTAAATTCGTTTTCATGCTCTTTTTAGGTTGTCTTCTTGCAGCAGACACAATATATTAAGATGTTTTTTTCTTCATTAAATAAAACACAACTTAACAACTCTATTAAAAAACTCAAGAAATGTTTATTACAAAATATTAGACTAACAAAAATGGGGATGATACCATAAAATACTCTTGAAATGGAATCACAAATTAGTATTTTGATAATTTAATATGTGGGTATAATTCAGTAAGATCGTGTGTTTTATGGTCCATTTGATAGCCACATTTTTTTTCCACGCATTTAATTAAATATTATAGAACATTAAGTGGGATAATTATTTGAATCAGTATGGTACATGCGTTCCGCATGTGCAATACTGATCATCAGATTATAAATCAATCATAAACTAGGTTTGAACTTCACACTTTTTATTCAACTTTTGAAAACTATGGTCACATGTGGGCAACATGTACCTTTTTTGTTGGCAATATGCCACTTAATTTATTTAGGAATAGTAAAGATTAGGCAGATTCCGGTTTTAATTTACTCATTCTTTTGATATTTCCTTGAACGAAGTATAATTTACTTATTTTTAATTTTACAATATTTATTTACTTGTAGTAAGGTAATCTTAAGATAAGTTTTCTTACACAAATAACACCTAAGAAAATACATGAGTAGTTTTGAGAAGCTAGAAATGGCTGACATTACATAAATTGTGACATTTGCTTGTGAAAAGTTTAATTTACTTGAGTGAAGTTTTTTACGTCTTGTTTAAATATTGTTCTCTACATTTATATTTATTTGTAAACTGTCATAAAATCATAAAACTATATAAGTATATGTGTGAATTATTGCATATACAATATCTGAATATATATAGGTTTAAAAAAGTTTTTCATTTAATTACCACTCTACAAAATAATATATTAGACAAGGTGTTTAATTAAGTTACGTAGACTCGGCCTTTATTTAAATATTAAATATGAACAACACACAAAAGTCTTAAAAATTATTTGTCTCTAAAATGCACGACTCCAATATTTTCCAAGACATCCACAGTATTCACTTCATTTTCGCTCATTTTATTTAAAACTGCCATTTCTAGTTCTAAATCATCATCCTCTGTTAATCCAATTTTCAGATCATTATTTTCAACCAGATCGAAAGTTTTTCCTAAAGAATTATTTACTATTGTCAAATCTTCTTCATTGGTAATTAAACCAGCCTTTAAAAACTTTCTTTGAACAGGAATGCGAGAGAAGTTTATAAAACAAAGAACAATTTTCTTTTTTAAAAACTCGTTTTTTAAAAATTCAAAGTTTTTAAGTATTGTAAAATCAACTCGAACCATTGCAGACATATCTAAAAACACGGTTTCAATCCAAGTACAACTATTGACTTCAGAATAAATTGTTTTATTCACTGCTTCTACACCAGGATAGGTCAAGTTTTCTAACAGTAGTAGTTTGATATATTTCTCCGCTTCATTTTTTTCAAGTAAATATTTTGGACGCGCCTCGCGGGAAAGTAGTACTAAAATTGCGATACCTGTCCCTACAATGACGCCATACTCTAGTTTGTAAAAACTTGTGCAAAACGCAGCACAAAACGGCAGCAAATCCCATTTGTGCAAACTCCAAATATTTTTTGGTATACTCATTTCAATCATTGTAACAACTGCCATTACCATCATAGCTCCTAAAGCTGCTGATGGAATATAATATAAAGCTGGAGTCATGAACTCAAGAACTATCAACGCAATCAGTCCTGAAATTGCACCTATTGAAAAAAATATACCAAGTATATAAGTATCAACATTTTACTAGTTTTGTTGTTGATTGTATTTTATTGAATAACATTAAGAAACATACCTGCTAAAGGAGTTTGAGCACCACTCATGGCGTTAAGGGCAGAACGCGAAAAGCCCCCACCTACAACCCAACCTCCATAAAAAGAAGCAATTATGTTGCACATTCCAATTGCAATTAATTCTTGCTGCGCCTTTACTTTATAATTGAACTTTTTAGCAAATGCTTTTGTTATAGACATTTGTTCAATAAACATGATTATGGGTAATATAATAAGAGAAGCACCAAAACCTTCTATTAATTGACCAGTTGTTTTAACCGTAATGTTTCCATCTTTGTATGATTGAAATGGACTCTGTAAGAAGAATCCTTTTTTTTATAAAAGATTTTTCAGTTATTTTACAATATTATGGAACTTTAAAATGTTTCATATTATAATACATTTAAGAAATTCTTTTTTTTAGTCTTTTTAGCTATTTAAAACGATTTATATTACAATACATTTTACAATTCCATAATAATTTGAAATAACTAAATCATGTTTTAAAATCTAAATTTACTTGTAATTACCTGGTATTTGGGTAAACCTTTTGGAATTATTCCAGCCGTTGTAAATTTTTCTTTCAACCCATATATATGGAATATGTAAACAGCAGTTGTTGCAAAGAAGCACACTAAAACCATTCTAGAAGCGCTTAAAAACAAAATCAGTTTTACTGCAAACGTTTTGATCTTACTTTTTTCTTTATTACCAAACTTTCTACTAGAAAGCCAGACAAAAAAAATCAAAAATGCTATACAACAAACGCCCATTATTATGTCCCATTTATTAGTATCGCGTATGTTTACAACGATGAATTTTAGAATTTCAAACACATTTCGAGGCGCTTTTTTAATACCAAATAAATTCGAAAGTTGTGTTACCATAATTGTAATAGCCGTCGCTGAAACAAACGCACTGATAACTAGTTGAGGTACATATTTGATCATATAACCAAGTTTAAAAATCCCCATCAGTACCAAAATAGCCCCAGTTAAGAAGCTTAGAAGAGATGCTCCAATAGTGCTATGAGTTGAATTAAAACTTGATGTATATAACCCTAGAGTCACCGTTGTACCAACACTGACATCTTTTGATGTGCCAAATATTGCATAAATTAATCCAGGAGTTAAAGATGCGTATAATCCATATTGTGCAGGAAGTTTTCCAAGATTTGCAAATGCAATACTTTGAGGAATAACGACAAACCCACATGTCAATCCAGCAATAACATCTCCGCGCAATTTAGTAAAGTTATATTGAGGAAGCCAAACCAATATCGGAAAAAATCTATGTAGTAAGTTTATGAGATCACTTTTCTTTATGTTAAAAAAACCCATTTTTATAGTGCTAAACACATATATTATCACATTATTAAGAACAATTCAATTGTTTTACTGTCATGTTTTTATTTCATTTTATAATAATTTCAAAAGTAGCACAGTTTTTGTATTTTTTTAACTTTCTATAAATTTCACAGTCTTATGTAAACAAGTGCAATTGAAATTTATTGAAAAAATAGGTTTTTGTAAATATTTATTCTAATAACCTATGACAAATTATACAGTTACCCTAAATTTCTATTATCTTATAGGCGTAATTAATTTTTTTTTTTTTTAACTTTGTTAGGCGAATAAAATAATTTACAATAAAAAAGACTGTACATATATAATAAATGACTGAAACTATTTATTATTGTTCTAAAAAGAAAGTTAGAAGAGTTTTGATTTATTTTTACTATATGAAAAAATTTATATAGTAAAAATATACAACATTTAACTTAAAATAAACCAGGTTTTCAATCTGATCTTTGAAGAACAAAATTATTATTAGAAACTTTTATAGGATATTTATGAGAAGTTTTGGTAAAGCAGGAGTGAAATATATTATAAGAAAAACCATGTTTTGACAAAAGCATACCTTGGTATATATTAAACTTATAAACATTAAGAGAATTAAGTTTCCTTGAAAGTAATTCTTTTAAGGGAACTTAATCCTGCAAGCGTGTTATTAATTACCATCGATTGTTTCAAACTTCCCGGTACTGTTACTTCCCCATGAAATATTACAATAGAAAAGATAACAATGAATAAATGAAAAGTATATAATTTTTATAGACTCAATATTAAGCAAATTGTTTAACTCTATATTGCATTGAAAAACTTTTAAGCATTATATTTTTAATTGATTTAATATTTCCATGATATATCTTCGTCTACCCTAAATACTCCTATATAGTTAACAGTTGACACTCTTTTAATACTTTTTTATTCCATAAAGAAGTTGGCTAGTTTCGAAGAAAGGCGATTACCCTTATTAGGTTTGTGGAACAACATAAACTTAGTTTGTTTATAGAAAAAACTTTTTTTCTTTCTTAAAAACTGCAGTATAGCTGAGTGGAGAAAACAATGAATTCATCAAACGCAAGGTTGAGCAAATGTGCTAAAATTACGAAAGCAAGTAAAGGGAATATGTGTTAACTCTTAATCATTTCAGCGGTGCCCTACAACTTAAATAGGAGTACGACTTAAACAGTAGTTTTTCATTATGTAAATCAATAACTGTTTTGCAATTATTATAGTATAGTATATTCATATGTTATATTGTTCGGTAAATATCTTAATATCTAAAAATACCGTGTGAGTCTCAGTATTTGTATGTGTAAATATATAAAAGAAATATAAACACAGTATAGCACAAAATTGTTTACACAATTAATATATATATATATACATATATATATATATATATATATATATATATATATATATATATATATATATATATATATATATATATATATATATATATATATATATATATATACATATATATACTCTTGCATGTCTCTTGCATGGCATCAAAAAAAGTTTCCCATAAACTGTAGTTTTAAAGAGCGCGTTAATAAACCAGACCAGAAAAAGTTTTAAAAATTAGTTTTTTTTTTTAATTGATAGACTGCCTGGCCAAACCAAACCCTCAGTCGATGTAGCAGCACTCTCTTGCGAGTCAGGCTATTTGTCAGTCGTTGTAGCAGCACTCCCTTGCGAGTCAGGCTATTTGTCAGTCGATGTAGCAGCACTCCCTTGCGAGTCACGCTATTTGTCAGTCAATGTAGCAACACTCCGTTGCGAGTCAGGCTATTTGTCAGTCGATGTAGCAGCACTCCGTTGCGAGTCAGGCTATAAGATAGTCGATGTAGCAACATTTACGCATGTTTTAAAAATGTTTTTTATTAAATCAATAACAAAAACACCACTAATTAAAAAAAACTTTCTAGTTGTTATAATTGCGGTTTTTTAAAAAATTTTTAAAAAACAATTAAATTTAATGTACTTCCGCATAAATTAATTGCTTTGACATTTCGATGACAATCAAAAACAGCTTAAGAGACGAGGTAATTAAAATTGTAGTCGAAAGAGACTTTTTTTACATATCTTTAAGATATAAATCAGAATTAAAACAGAAAATAACTAAGAAATTCAAAAAATTCAAAATAGCAAATAATTAAGTGAAGTGTTAAAATGCTTACAACCGCTAAAATGAATAAAAACACTTAAACAAAAATTTTCAAATAAAAAAATAATATAAAATTTCATAATTAACATAATCACTAGATAAGTTTTGAACATCATCACTTAAAATTTAAGTGATGATATTCAGAATCCAATAAAATTTAAGTTGAATTTCAGTGGTATAAATAAATCTGTTTTGAGCTTACTTTAAAAAAAACATTTAAAGTCGGAAAAATTAAATTCCCTAAACAGTAATAGTCTTTTAAATTCATTCTTGAATTGTTTCTGTTGACAATATCTGGGATTTTTTTCACAGATAAGGTCCACGGTGTTTAATTGAATAGGAGGTTAATTTTAGATTATATTTGAGTAGAACAATGTTGTTATCTAAAAACTTAGTTGAATACTTATGATTAATTTTATTAAAATAGATTTGAAAGATTTTTTGGGACATTACCATTTTTGTTTTAAACATAAACAATAAAACTTGGTGTAAATTGAGTTTACACACATTTAAAGCACCGAGCGCACGTAAAAGTGGTTCGCAAGGAGTATTTCTACAGGCTTCAAACACCATTCTGCACGCATGTTTTTGTTTATTGTACATTTTCTTAAGTTTTGTATAGCCAGTAATAGCCAATACAATATTACAGTAAGACAAATAACTGTGAATAAAAGCAAAATATAATTTTTTCAGGGGTGTTACATTTAGAAAAGGTTTAGCCTTAAACATCATTGCGATATTTTTTGAGAGTATCGTGTTAATACTATTTATATGTGAACATCGCAGTAAATTTTCATCAAATTTTCAAATTTTCAAGTTTGTTACTTACAAACCATTCATTAACTTTACATAACTGTTCATTCACTATTTTAAAAAGTGTTTTAATATCTCTGTGAGTTCAAAAAAGATTGGAATCATCAGCAAACAAAATTAGGTCTAAAAGATCTGTTGCTAAGTATAAGTCATTTATGTACAATAGAAATAAGAGTGGTCCTAAATTTAAGCCCTATGGAACCCCGCAAGTTATGGAATATGGATTTGTGTTATTTTGATCATAGTACAAAAATTGTTTTTGGTTTGTCAGGTACCCTTTGAACCAAAGTAGGTTTTTATTTTTCACTCCGTAGTTATCAAGTTTTTTTATAAACATATTGTGATTTACTGTATCAAAAGCTTTCGACAGATCAATGAAAACTCCTAATGTAAAACAGTCCTTAACAAAGACGTTAGATATTTGATTGGAAAGTTCAACTAATGCATGTTCAATGGAAAATTTTTTTAAACCAAATTGCCTGCAATACAACATGTCGTTCTCAGTTAGATAATTATATAGCTTATTATACATTATTCTCTCTAGCAATTTTGAAAAACAAGATAATATAGATATAGGTCTGTAAAATAAAATATTGGACTTATCTCCAGATTTAAAAACTGGTGTTATACGGGCAATTTTTAGTTTGTCAGGAACAAAACCTGTCTTAAATGAAAGATCCAAAATATGAAATAAAGAAGCCCAGTTAGCACACTTACATTGGGCCAACGTATGTAAAACCATCGCGAACGTCGGCTCTTTTTTCTAATGCAAAACCAACGTTGATGTAATGTTATTTGCTTAATGATAAAATTATTACCGACGGAAATAAAAACATCTGGCAAATTTACATTGGCCCAATGTATGTAAATACATCGCAAAAAGTTGATTGTTTTTACGCACTAAACCCAACGTTGATCCATTGTATGCGACCAAACATTGCTATTGCAAAATTATATAACTTAATCTTCCGTGAGTATTAAATTGGTTTATAGTTGTTAGCGACGTCGTATTTGTAACCATAATGATATAAAAACAACGTTGGCAGCCCATGTTGAGCCAACGAAACTCGCGACATTGTTCTAATGTTTTAATAACGTTTGTGTGCAAGCAGGGAGGTTCAATAATATCAAATACTGATTTGACAATATCACTACTAGTTTTATTAAAATCCACACTTTTTTTTATTCTTGAGACTGCTAAATGCAGCTCTTAGCTCGCTATGTTTCAACCTAGTTTCGTCCATAATTTTATCATAAGTTTTTAAATATAAATCAAATTTGACCAATATTAACAAAATAGTTGTTTAGTTCTTCAGCTATAATTAAATCCTTAATTACATTCCATACTTTTTTAGTGTTTCCGTTGGTCTTTTTAATAGTTATTAAAAAGACCAACGGTAGAAAAAAACAACCTGAAATTAAAGATTTTTTACCGAAACTTTAATCTAAAATTATTTGTGGAAAAGAAGAACACACACACATATATATATATATATATATATACATATATATATATATATATATATATATATATATATATATATATATATATATATATATATATATATATATATATATATATATATATATATATATATATATATATATATATATATATATATAACAATGCAGCATATATGTTTTATCAAATAATAAAACATTCTTTATCTTAAAAATAAATAAAACCCCAATAGAATTACTATTTATTTTCAAAAATTTTAGTGCGTCCTTACGACGCTATTTATTTTTGTAGAACTTTAAATTTTTTGTGGGTGACAGGTATCCAGTGTTGCCATACAAAAAGTAAAATACAATTATGGTCGGGCGCCAGTAAGTTAGATATAATAGCATCGGCTCTTGCTCTTTCATACACGCTCTCCCCTAATATTGTTAATTAAAATGCTATTGGTAGCTAAGAATGTTGGAAAATGATTAGATAAATTAGTCTTAAATTCGATAAATTAGAATTATAACTGTGTAAAGAGGAATATTATAAAAATTGTTAGTAATGATTCCAGTTAACCAACCCAACTGGCTCCCAGCTGGGATTTAGCTGGGATTACTGGTATTGGGTTCGGGCTGGGATTTGTTCTGGGTGCCAGATGGGTCCAATATGGTGTAAAAATAGTGCCACAAATAAAATCTGGGTTTTTACTGGGATTGGCATGTGGCTTCCGTAAATGGTTTACGGCTGGTTTGAAGATGGGACGTGTGGTTTATTAGTAGCGTGTATTTCCTAATCGAAGCAGTTTTTTTAGCATCTTTTTTATTAAAAAATTTTGTGGAAATAAAATTACAAAACTCTTTAAAAATGTCATATGCAGTAACGCGACTTGATTTAGATTGAATACACACTTGCATTTAGAGTAAATATACGCAGGAACTTCATTTGATTTTTTTATTGTATTTTTGTAAAAAGATATTTATATATCAGTTTGAATTCTATACTAAATTTTAGTTTTTTAATATAGTATAAATCGAAAGTAATAACAAAAATTATAAGGTGTTTTAACGTTTAGCTTTATTTGTCTGTAATAATAAAAAAGTTACCTTATTTTATTTGAATATATTTATTTATTAAATACATTTTTAAATTCTTTAAAATATAAAAGTATATATATTTTGATAGCAATATTCAGACATTTGTTTAAGAAACAATTTGGCTAGTCTAAGAGGGAAATCTTGAGTTTTAAGGTTTTAAGATGTTTTTTAAATAATTATCACAGAATGTTATATTATTTTTTTAGATTATGTTGAGAAATAAATTAAATATCCATCCAGTCAGAATCACGTGACTATATCGCGAAATCAAAAGTAACCATATTGAATTGGGGGAAAACAAACTATACTTTCTAATACGAAAAGTCAAGAAAACATTATTAACAATAAGTTTATATTCAACAATTATTTCAAAAGTTAATTAAAAGCAAAAGCGAATAGATGTCTGCAAAATATAAGTCTTTTAGGTGATTTTACTTTACTTTTACAAACTTTTAGATCTCTGATGACTTACTTTGCTGTCTACGTTTTATTTTGGTTATTTTAGGTTACAAAAAGTACTGATATTTTAATATTTATTTACCAATACTAAATTAAGATGCAAATTAAAAGTAACCCTCCAGTCATAAAGAGTGCCGAATAAACATATACATTACAAGATTTTACTTGCTACATGCAATACTATCTACAGCACGATTTATCGTATTCAACCATTTTCTTTTAAGTAATTCATTATTTGGAAGACTTAAGTTTTTATATTTTTTTAAATTTGTTAGTGCAACCTACAGCGCAACAACTTTTAAGGATTTTTTTTTTAAAATAACTCAACATTCCGCTACTGATTTTTTAGTTTGTTTTCCCCCAATTCAAGATGGATATTTTTAAAACAATGCTTTTTAATACGATGTGACGTCACGCCGACTGGATGGATACTGTTCTCTATAATAAGTCGATAGAGCAACTCTGAACAAAATTTTGAATTTTTTGACCCCAAAATCGCCATATTGGAAAGCCCAATTTCCGTAAGCTTTAAGCGACTAATCGCTAAATATTAAATACCAGTACAATATCAGATTTCAACTAAGTTAAATATACAATAATGAGCGGATTAAAAAAAGTTCTTCGAGGTTTAGAGTGTTGTACAACACTCTGAACAATTGTGCATATAGGTGCAAAAAAAGGAAAAGAACTGAAGGCTTAAGAAGCAATGGTTCAGGAAGTTCCGATGAGGAATCTGTTGTTAAAAGAAAATTACCTAGAACTTTTCATTTGTATGTATACATTACTAGTCTTTAATGACAATGCTCTTTTTATTAAAGAAAGCAGTGGTCATTAAATACTTTATAATAAAAGCATTAAAATTATAGGTCTATGATACTAATATAACTATCTACAACAATTCTTATATAGTTATTTTTATAGATTACTTTTTCAGTTTTTTAGTTACTTTTTCTTAATTAACATTCATATATACATACATGTATATATAAACATATATATATATATATATATATATATATATATATATATATATATATATATATATATATATATATATATATATATATATATATATATATATACATATATATATATATATATATATATATATATATATATATAATATATATATATATATATATAAATATATATATATATATAATATATATATATATATATATATATATATATATATATATATATATATATATATGTATATACACTTAAATATATACATAAATATATACATAAATGTATATATTTAATTATATTTATATATATTTAATTAATAAATAAATGTATATATATATATATATATATATATTATATATATATATATATATATATATATATATATATTTAAACAATTTAAAATGTATTCTACAAAAAGAGTGCTCAATGTTCTTAAAAAAACAGAGCATTTACAAATTAGTAGAAAATCACTTAGCAAAATTTTTTCTCATTTAGCACTGTGTAATTTATATATATATATATATATATATATATATATATATATATATATATATATATATATATATATATATATATATATATATATATATATATATATATATATATATATATATATATATATATATATATATATATATATATATATATATATATATATATATATATATATATATATATATATTGTAATATTCTGAGGATAATGTTATACTAAGAATTAAATACAACATAAAGTTTAAAGCGTGCAAACCGCCATATTTATTTCAAGTAAAAATAATAACACGAGGCATGTGTGTATTATGCCGAACACCGATATTACATCTTCCTTCTTAAATTTAAAAAAAAAAAAAAAAAAAGTTCAAGATGTGTATTTATCATATAGTTAAACTAGTTCTTTATAATATACACTGTTAAATGAAGTCCCTCAAATAGGCAGGTCTGTTTTTAGTCCTAAAAGATCTTTGCAAGTCAGGCTGCGGTTCAGTCGATAGAGTTTCAGGAATACACGTAGCTTCTATTTGATTATTTTCTGTTTCCTCATTTGATGTAGGAGATGTGATAACAGCTGTAAATCATTAATCGTATAGCAAATCAAGTTGTTTATGCTGATATACTAGTGGTTGCTCATTGGTTTTAATCAGATTTTTACGATTGCGTGGATATACTCTTCCCTACTTATCTACCACGTTGTATGATCTGGGTAATCTTAATTTTTCTTTAACTGTCACTTTCTTCCATTTTTCATCTTTTCTCATATGGGCAGTGTCGTTTGCTACTAGATTTGGGAGTTCCGATGTGTTCCGATCATAGTATTGTTTTTGACTATTTCTGGACTTGGTGATCTGACTATAAGCATTTACAGGAACTGCTGGTATAAGTAAGTCATGGTGGGCAGGTATGGTTGTTTGCGTTTTTCTGTTCATGAGAAGTTGGGATTGGGAGTAGTCCATACCAGTGAGAGGCATATTGAGGTATTCTAGAAGACCAAGTTCAGGGTTGTCGCATTTTTTTAGTATTTTCTTGATAATTTTTACACCCATTTCACTGAGACCATTTGATTGGGGATAGTTTGGACTGGATGGAGTAAAGTTAAACCCATATTCTTTTGAGAAATTAAGGAATTCTGTACTGTTGTAGGGGTTGTTATCAACATTGAGACTTGAAGGTATTCCCTGACGAGTAAAAGTTCATAAAATTAACATAAAAATTCATAAATTTCATAAAATTGATTACAGAAAATGCCGTTTTGTCAGGAATGATACTGTTTTCTATAAATTTAGAAAAGTAGTCTATAACAATTACATAGATTTTTCCATGCAACTCATATATGTCTGATCCTACTTTACTCCACGGTAAGTCAGGAATGTCGTGTTGAATGATTTTTTCCTTTTTGTTGTTATTACGATATTTAAGGCATTTATGGCAATTGAGTATTAGTTTATCAATGTTGCTTATAAGTCCTGGCCAGTAGTCAACATTTCGAGCTTTAGCTTTCGTCTTTTCGGTGCCAAGGTGTGATAAGTGAAGCTGTGTTAATATGAGGGGTCTCATATCAGTTGGTATGACTATTTTGTTTTCTTTTAAAATTATTCCCTCTGCTATGTGTAAGTTGTTTCTGATGGTCCAATATTTCTTTTCTTCACCACAGAGTATTTGTCGGTTTCGGGGCCAACCATAAGATATATATTTTGTTATTTGAGAGAGCACAGAGTCAACCTTAGTTTTGTGCTGCAAATGTTTTAGTCTATCTGTTGATATTGGCAAATTTTGAACTAAAGTGTGGACCATAATGCTGCAGTCCTCATTTAGGCTATCATCCTGGTCAAAAATGTTGAGGTAAGCACGTGATAAAGAGCCTGCAATGTGTAGATCTTTTCCTGGAACATATTTTACTATAACTTGATATTTTTGGAGTCTTATCAGAAGTCTTTCTATGCGAGGTGGTGCTTCTGACAGCGGCTTGTGCAAGATATATTCAAGAGGTTTATGATCACTTTCTATTGAGACCTGTCGCCCATAGGTATATTGGTTTAAATGTTCACAAGCAAAAACTATTGCTAAAAGTTCTTTCTCTATCTGGGCATATCTCTGTTCTGCTATGGTTAAACTACGAAGGGAAGCTGTTATCTCTGACATATTTGGGATGAATTGTCGCAGGTAGTTGACCATTCCTAAGAGCCGTTGCAAATCTGCTTGACATGCAGGCAATGGGTATTCAGTTATGGCTTTAGTTTTTTCAGGATCAACTCTTATGCCTTCATGGCTGATAATGTTGCCAAGATACCTGACCTCAGATACTCGAAATTGTATTTTTTTAGGTTGAATTTTATGTTTCTTTTACAAGCTCATTGTAAATTTTGTTGGAAAATTTTATCATGCTCTGTATCTGTTTTAGCTGCAATAATCAAGTCATTGTGGATAGCCAGAACATTAGGGATATCACCGAAATTAAGTTCAATCATCTCCTATGCAGCATCCGATGCGCATGATATGCCAAACAGCATGCGGTTGAATTTGTATCGGCCATAAGTGTTGAATGTCCATAGAGGAAGGAAGTCAGAGGAAGGTTCATCTAGTTTTATATGCCAATAGCAATCAGCCATGTCTATAACAGTGAAAACTTTGTTGCCGCAAAGTTTGCCAGAGATTTCTTCTGTAGATGGAGTGGTTTTGTATTGTCTTAAAACAGACTTGTTTAGTTCTTTTGGATCGATGCATAATCTTAAGGACCCATCTTTTTTCTCTACGATGACCATTGAGTGTACCCAAGGTGTCGGTTTAGAAATTTTTGAGATAGCTGTGGCTTTTACTAGACGGTCAAGTGTGCTTTTAAGTTTAGGTAGGACAGTCATTGGTACTTTCCTTGGTGCATGAATGACTGGGATTGCATCTTTAGCAAGTGCGATATGATAATTTTCTTTAACTAAACCAAGGCCGGTAAAAACATGACTATAATGTTTTAAAATGTTTTATCAATTTCAACATCGTTAATGTTTAGTATTTCAAGAAATTTGTAGGAACTTAGACCAAGAAGTGGTTTTACGTCAGACAGAGATAAAACAAAAAACTGACACACGTGAAATGTTATTCTTTTTTTTTTTTAAAGTTTAGAGCATGCAAACCGCCATATTTATTTCAAGTAAAAATAATAACACGAGGCATGTGTGTATTATGCCGAACTCGGATATTCAGCCCCAAAAAAAATATAACTTATGAGCGTTATTTATTCAATACATGTATGCAAGACAGCAGATTATTTACTGATTTCTTAATTGATTTACAAAATAAAGCTAAAACGTGTGAGTTTGGAACCCTTGAAGAAAGCCTAATATGTGACAGAGTAGTCTGTGGAATCGACTCTAAAGCTGCCAGAGAACGACTACTTAGAGACACTGAGCTTACTCTAGAGAAAACAATCAGTTTCATAAGAGCATATGAAACATCAAAAACACATTTAAAATCCCTCGAAAATACAATCCAGGCAGATTTTATAAATAAACATGGAAACAGACCTAATTTCAACTCCCTAAAGATTGATAGACCTTCACATAAATCTTGCTACTACTGTGGATCACAACATACTACTTCGTTTTGCCCGGCATATGGCCTAAAGTACACAGCATGTGGAAAACTAAACCATTTTGCTAAAGTATGCAGATCCAAAACTAACCGCTTTAATACTAATTGTGTAGACCAAGTTGATCAAAAGGAAGTCAACCTCAACGTTGCAGAGTTATATATTCATCATGTTGCAGCATCAATTGAATGTCCTGACAATTTAACAACAAATATTACAGTCAACAACAAAAATATAACATTTAAATTAGATACTGGAGCTTAATGAAATGTCATTCCATACAACGTCTACAACTCTATTCCTGGAAGACCTCCTCTCAAAAAAACAATAACTCAACTAAAATCTGTACTAGGAATTTGCAACCTAACTATTGAAAATAATAACACGAGGCATGTATGTATTATGCCGAACACAGATATTACACATATATATATATATATATATATATATATATATATATATATATATATATATATATATATATATATATATATATATATATATATATATATATATATAATAGCCAATAACAATAATATGATTTAGATTTCCTTTAAATGGGTACCGTAAAAAAGAATGGATTTTAAAGATGCATCGTGATAATTGGCAACCAAGTAAATCCAGAGTTATCTGCTCAGACCATTTTATGGAAAAATACATTGATAGAACTGGTTAAGTTGTTCGACTTAACCAGTTCTATCAATTATATTTGGAAATTACATATATATATATATATATATATATATATATATATGTGCTTTCCAAACCTTTTTTAAATAATAAGGAAAACTTTTAAATCAAGTTGCTATACCTAATTGATTTAAAAGTTTTCCTTATTATTTAAAAAAGGTTTGGAAAGCACATATATATATATATATATATATATATATATATATATATATATATATATATATATATATATATATTACAAATAGATAAATGTATATCAGTATGCACCTTTTGATTCTTAATTACTCGCTGCAAAATGTCTGAGGCTTGTAACATGTTTGCAAGGTAAACAACTTATACATTGTTGTATGAATCATTAGTTGGGCAATGTGAGTGTAGCACAACCCAAAGGTTCCTTAGGCAGTAAATAGTAATTAAGGCGTAATTAAGAAGTAATAGTAATTGTATATATATTTACCATATATATATATATATATATATATATATATAATATATATATATATATATATATATATATATATATATATATATATATATATATATATATATATATTTATATATATATATTTATTTAATTTAAATTTATTTACGTTTTGTATATAAACATGTGTATATATATATATATATATATATATATATATATATATATATATATATATATATATATGTGTGTGTGTATATATATATATGTGTATATATATATATATATATATATATATATATATATATATATATACATAATTTTTTATAGGAAGTAAAATTTCAAGCTGAGGTAGATATTATAGATAAAGAACCAACTATAGTGGATGAGTGCAGTTCTAGCTATATAGAATTGAATAAAAAACTTGAAATAAGCCATCAAAAAATTTGCGTTTTAAAAAAAAAGCTCAAAATTGCCCAACAAAAATATAGCAGAATGAAGAAAGCAGTAGTTTCTTCAGTTAAAAGTTTAAACAAAAAAAAAATCATTCCCCTTAACTGTCTAGAAATGCTTTTAAAAACATTTTCTGGAGTACCGAGAGCACTTATGCAAAAAATAGTGACTGGTAAGCATGCAACAACAAAGCAAGCAACAAGGGGCAAAAATATCCTCCTGAAGTTAAGGCATTTGCATTGATATTGTAATTTTATTCTACAAAAGCTTATGAGTTAGTGAGAAAAACATTTGATTTTGCATTGCCTTGTCAATCACACATTCGAAAATGGTATGCAAAAATTGATGCGAATCCTGCCTTTACAAAACCTGCATTCAAAGCTATAAAGTTAAAAGTTGAAGAAGCAAAATATAAAAATAAAATAGTAGTTTGCTCCCTCATGTTAGATGAAATGAGCATTAAAAAACATATATCATGGGATAAGGAAAAATACAGTGGTTATGTTGACCTTGGCTATGATGTAGATGATGACTTAACACCTGTAGCAAAGGATGCATTGGTTTTTATGGTTGTAAGTATCAACAGCTTGTGGAAAGTTCCATGTGTATATTTTTTTATTAATGGTCTCACTGGAAGTGAAAAAGCTAATCTCATTAGAGTATGTATCCAGCGTTTGTCTGATGTTGGTTTGAAAGTTATATCAATTACTTGTGATGGTCCATCTTGCCATTTTAGTATGCTATCAAAACTTGGAGCTTCATTGAAAGTTACAAATATGGTACCTTCATTTCCACATCCACTCATAGCAAATGAAAAAGTTTTTGTTCTTCTTTATGTATGTCAAATGCTAAAGCTGATGAGAAATATATTAGCAGAAAAAGGTATTTTGTTTGATTCTGAAAAGAAACAACTAATGGAAATACATTAAAGATTTACAAAATTTTCAAGATGCAGAGGGTCTGAGATTTTTATTCAAATGATTGATCAGCTTTTTACCATCTTAATTCAAGAAATCCATTTGCTAAGGGTTATAAAGCAGCATTGTGTGTCAGTAATAAACACATCTGGAATCCATTTTTTGATAAGGCTTACAGGTATATTTTATAAATATCAAAATTTCTTTCTTTCTTCCTCTCTTTATGAATATATATATATATATATATATATATATATATATATATATATATATATATATATATATATATATATATATATATATATATATACAGTGAATCCAAAAATTATTGGCCCACCCTTGCATAACTACTTTATTTTTGCTGGCATATAAGAACTATAGGAGAGAATTACTAAGTGTTAGTATCATTGTGTCCTCTGTTATCACTAGTATATATACAACAAGTTTCAGCTTTTCAATTACTTTCGTTCTTGTTTTATTGAGAAAACAGTATAAGTTTGTTCAAATATTATGTACAAAAATTATTGGCCCAGAGAAAAGAAAAAAATTTTTGTCCATTGCGAAACAGGTATTTCATCGAATCTAGTATTGTGTTGGGTAACCTTTCATCTTGATGCATTCTTGTAATCTACTTGGTACTGAATCAACAAGTTTCTGGAGAACAGACAACTCGACGTTATTCCATTCGTTCTTCAAGAGGTCTCCAAGTTCGTAGATATTTTTCGGCTTGTGTTTCTTCATCCTCCGGTCGATCTCATCCCATAGATGTTCTATGGGATTGAGATCAGGCGAGGATGAAGGCCAAGCTAATGTTTGAATATTGTTTTGTTTGAGCCAATCCTTGACTAGACCTGATGTATGCTTGGGATCATTATCGTGGACGAAAAAAAATTCTTGTCCAAAATTAAAAAAAAACTTATCGGCTTGTTCAACATTGTTTTTGCGTATTTCAGTTGTTTAACTTGATTGATATTGTTGACTAATGGTTTCTTTCGTGCTACACGACCATAAAGTCCAGCTTCGTGAAGTCTATTTTGAATGGTATTGGTGTGTAATGATATTCCTAGTTCGGTCTCGACCTCGATCTTCACAACATTGGCAGATTTACGTCGATCGGACTTAACTTTGCGTACTATCAATCAATCCAATGTTTCGGTTGTTTTCCTTTTTCGACCACGTCTGAATAAATTACCGATACATTTCGTCTGTTTGTATTTCTTAATTATATATCGTACTGTCTCTTGAGGAAGTAATGTCTTAGTAGCAATTTCTCGTTGAGAAACACCGTTTTGATAGTGCTGAATTACTAAAGCTCGAAGGTCATTACTATGTTCTTTCTTTTTAGGTGCCATTTTAGTAAATTATCATTTAGTGAAGAAATCCGCAAGTATTTATACTATGATTAGTGGTTCTAGATATAGCGTCGACACAATTCTATAGCATTCTGAAAAAAACATGAAAGTTCTAGAACTTTTTGGAAGTATTATTTTCTTTTCTTTTCTCTGGGCCAATAATTTTTGTACATAATATTTGAACAAACTTATACTGTTTTCTCGATAAAACAAGAACGAAAGTAATTGAAAAGCTGAAACTTGTTGTATATATACTAGTGATAACAGACGACACGATGATACTAACACTTAGTAATTCTCTCCTATAGTTCTTATATGCCAGCAAAATTAAAGTAGTTATGCAAAGGTGGGCCAATAATTTTTGGACTCACTGTATATATATATATATATATATATATATATATATATATATATATATATATATATATATATATATATATATATATATATATATATATATATATATATATATATATATATATATATATATATATATATATATACACATATATATGTAAAGAGAGACAGAAGGAATATTTATATTTCTGTGTGTATGTTAACTTGCGCACTGTATGTTATCTTTTATTTGTATAATAAATTAAAATTAAATATTATTTTATAAATAATATAAAATAAAATTGCCAGGTACATAACTGGTCTTCAAAATGAAGTGTGTATTGAAATGCACACAACATAAAGAAAGACTGCTTTTATTGGATTTCTTGTAGCAATAGAAAGCACAAAGCAGGTATGCATGTTATATATATATATATATATATATATATATATATATATATATATATATATATATATATATATATATATATATATATATATATATATAAATAAATTAGTAAAAACACTTATCTACACTTTGTTTTGCCATCAGACTCATCAGGATGATTCTTCCTGATGAGCCTACTGATGGCAAAACAAAGTGTTGAAGAAAATTACATAAGTGTTTTTACTAATTTATTATTGCTCTGTTCTTTGAGAACATTGAACATTAAGAATAATGTAACATAATTAGAAAATTATAAGAAGCATTAATAATTATACCTGTATTTCTTTTATTTTCTCTTTGGTTTTGTGTACAATATTTTATTAATCAACCATTAATTATCAGCATACAACTGATAAATGTAAGTTGAAATAATAATTATTTTAATAAAACTACACATGTGTCTTTAGATCTTTCATACTTTGGTTGAAGAAGAACAATCACCACTTAAGTATCTTTTAACGTACAAACTTAGTCAAGATCATTTAGAGCTTTTTTTTGGGGTCATTCGCTCATCTGGTGGGTTTAATAACAATCCAACTTGTCAGCAATTTACTGCAGCATATAAAAGACTACTTCTCAGAAGTAGCATTACAGGTGGCAGTGGCAACTGTGAAAATAGAGACCCAATTAGTATACTTCATGTATTAGATAATGCTGACAGTAAAAGCACTATAAGTGTTGCCACTATTATAAGAAAATATAATCTGTCAGATAATATAACACCACAAATTACTGACCATGATTACTTAGATGCACCTAATATAAATATATTATCAGACTATAAAAAATCTGCTATATCATATATTGCTGGATATGTTGCCAAAATGGGTGAAAAGCAATTGGTATGTATTAAATGCTGTAAAGCTATTGGTTCAATTACGTATCGTCATGAATCTACCTTTCTTTCGTTTAAAGATAGAGGTGGTCTTTTCAAACCTTTAACTAGTGTTATCAAAGTGTGTGAAATGACTGAACAAAAAATTTTTAGAATAGTGTCAACACTTTCTGGAAAGTTGCCCATAATAAAATCTGGTATAGTTAATGCTATTGCAATTTCATTTTTAGAAGCAATAAATATATCTTTAGTGTTTCGGGACTTATAATCATGTTTGATGGCCCAATCAGGCTTGGTCGGGAAGCGGGAGCGATCGCTCTCGATTGCTGACCACGTAAATAATATTTAGTTGCGAAAAGCTGGCCAGATTTTTTAGTCGTTTTGAGAACATTTTAAAAAGCAAAAAAAAAAAACGACAAAGATTAATTGGATCGATGAGAGACAATTACAAAAAAAAAAAAAGTAGGCAAATAAAATATCTTTAAACGCGAAAAAACTTTAGGCTAAATAAATTACATTTAGAACAATTATTTACGAAACATCGCTTTTTTATAATTTTTTTTTATAAAATTAAGCGATGTTTTTTATATAAAGTAACAACTTACGATCGTGTAAAAGGGAAACAAATATTCTTTATTTAACTTTTTTCCAAGTTTTAGTTTTACTTAAGCTTAATTTATTTTATAAATAAAAAAGTTAAGTAGTTTGAAAAGTTTAACATATTTGAAGCGATTCTTTTTAGTAAGATAAACAAATGAAATAATTAAATCATTGAATTACTATAGGAATTAAATTATCAAGTTAGAAATCAACTAAAAAGGTTAAAAATACGTAATGATCAGGAAGCGAAACTGCTTCACAATATCGCTGATGATGTTTAGTGAGTGGGTTTTTAATTTTAATTAGTATTTAAAACAGAAAAAAGTATAACGAGTTTTAAGAATGGCAATTTAAGCGAAAATAATTAGAGTTAGTAAACCAATATCTAGAAACTTTTCTTTATATCTAATTATTTGCTATTATATATTTGTGTTCTGTCGTGACTTCAGGCGCGATGCTTGTTCATCCGCGAGTTACTTTGTATGCGTTGTTTGTGTTAAGTAACCAGAAACTTCTTATATGTTAATTACATAATTAGTTTTATTAACTTTAACAATTATAACTTCATTGAAAACGCAATTATTTTTGTAAGTCTTTGTTTAAATCATTAAAATTGCTTTAAAAGATACATAAAAAACAAAATTACATAAGTTTACATAAAGAATACAATCTCTTTTGAAATAAAAAATAAGAATATACTAATAAAATCTATGACTTATAATAAACTTTTAAAATTTTAACAATTTTATTAATATATATTTAAAACATTTACTTTCGTAAACAAATAATATATATTCTTAAAACAATACTAGAAATCTCAAAACATAACAAATTAGTTTGTTTTTTAATTTGGTGTTCGCAAATATTCTTTTTATTCTTTCGCACGAAGATTCTAGAGATTCTGAGAACATTCTAGTTTATTATGTTTCCATGTATGTCCGTAAAATAAAAATTCTTTGTTTCGTACATAAACTTAAATGTTCTCAAAACGACTAAAAAACCTGGCCAGTTTTACGCAACTAAATATAATTTCCGTGGTCAGTATTCGAGAGCGATCGCTCCCGCTTCCCGACCAAGCCTGCCCAATTTATGAAAACCATATCTTTACTCTTGATAAATTACTTGCTAAGTGCTACTGCAAAATAAGGTTGCATCAGCTTGGAAAATTAGAATTAGCAAAAGTTTCTGGAGTAAATGTCAGGAAGACTCTTAGCAAAATGGTCTTATTCAAAAATCAATGAAAGTATTAATCACATAGAGAATTTATGTATCATAGTTTTGACGATTATCTTCGTATGATGTTTTTTGATATTCATTTTTGTACTATTGCTATTTGAGTTTCTATTTTTTTAAGATAACAATTTTAAAATAACAATTTTTAAACATGACTTTTGGTTGTTTATATACGTAAACAAAATAAAAAATAAAAAAAACTGTAATACATTTATCTTTATATTAATTAGGTAGGGCAGCTGCATGTTTTTTATGACCTTTTTTTATTTATACCATCTATATCTTTAAATCTTTCATGTAGATTGCATGAAACAACTTAGTTACAACTTAAAAACTTAGTGCTTATTAAAATTAGAACTTTTTCAAACTTTTTATAAGTGCGATAAAAGTTTGTGAAGCAACAGAACTAAAAATTGTTAGTATGTGATCATCAATATCAATTAAGCATTGTAAAATTGATATTACTTTTGCAGTCGTGGAAGAAATCAACATATCCTCAGATTTTCAAAAACTCTGAAAACCATTTAAAAAAGTTTTTGATACAATATTTTTTTGGCATGTTTTATACTTGTAAAGTTACTTTCTCACTGCTATTATAAAGTAAGATTGCATCAAGTTGTAACAATAAACATCCTAAAATAACCAGAGTAAATATTAAATTAATTTTTAGCAAAGTAGTTTCATTTTGAACATAAGAAAATTAATAAAAGTAACAAATTCATACAAAACAATCTGTTCTTTATAGCGGTATTTCCTTTTAACTCTAATTTTTTTTGTGCTTTTTTTTTTTTAATTTTTAAACTTTCTAACATTTTTTTATATAACAATATCATTGAAATATGCAACTTTGGTTGAATATAAATGAAGTAGAAAACTTTGGTTGAATATAAATAAAGTAGAAAGTAAAACATAAACAAATCTTCAAGTGCAATCTCTGTATTTTCAAATTCCAGCGTTCTGGGGCTTTCCAATATGGCGATTTTGGCGTCAATTTTGATATTAGAGATGCGCTATCCAGTTATTATAGAGATCAGTGATGGATACAATCATAAAATGCTAGTCAAGCGTAATATAAAATTGAAAATGTAGTTTTGATACTAAATATTGCAAAAACTGAATGTTTGAATAATCATAAATGTTTTGTATTTTTCACTTATAGTAAGTTAAGCTATAGTAAGTCAATTTTATTGTATTATTATATGATATCATTTAGTCATATATAGTATGTGTATTTACAAAGTTATAAAAAAGCTATCAAATTTTTTTGGTAATACGTTTTTTATTTATATTATTTTTGTGCTTTTTAACTTTATTAAATTTATTAAAGAGGTTCAATAGTATCTATGTTTTGTTTTTAGATTTAATTTGTGTTGATTTATGATTAACAATAGAAAGTATAATACTTCAACAAATGTTAGTTTTTTACACATAAAAGTTATGAAAAATCTCCTATGAAATGGTTCATCTAAATCTAGTAAGTTTACACTTAATCTGACTGCATTATTTTAAATATTTTTGTTTCAGAAAGTTCAGGAAAATTTTACTTTCCCCGAGTTTTATTATCTCAAATTATTAGTTTACAGAGTTTGATAAAATAAATACAATAATTTCTGTATATTAAAAATATATAGAATTTGAAAAATATACAGGTTTTTCCTATTATTGACCTGGGCTTCTGTGAATGGATAGGTTCTAAGTTATCTATGTATAATGATTTTTTAAACCAATTAATTAGGGTGTTACATATTTTTTAGAATCTGTTGTGAAATAAATTTAATATATAATCACAAAATGTAGCTCTACAGTGTTCTCACACCTCCTTAAAAACCTTAAATATCCTTAAAAAATAAAAACCTCCTTAAATGTCCTTAAATAACCTTAAAAAAAGTTAAAATTTGACTGCTCTTCTTAATTTCTCCTTATTTTTTTTTTATTTAACTAGAAAAGATTTTTAAAGTGAATGGATTATACTTGGTAATAAAAAAGATAATATATAGATTTTCAAACCTATTTTTAGGTTTATATAAATATTAATACATATATAATAACAAAAATAGGTTTTCAAACCTATCTTTGTTATTATATATATATATATATATATATATATATATATATATATATATATATATATTTTTTTTTTTTTTTTTTTTTTAACATCTTCACTTCCAACAAGGCTGCAAGCAACCACTATAAGAGTTGGAAGTTACTAGAAGAGAAAAGACTAAATCTGTAGAGCAAGATAACGATTGACTGATGACTTAAAAGATTGCAAATTATATGAATCAGGAAAGCAAGATGAAGGAAGCGAATTCCAAAGAACTGATGTTCGAGGAAAAAAACTAGAAGAATAAGAGTTTTTGAAGCACTTAGGAACAGTCACAGAAAAAGGATGAGACTTAAATGAATGACGAGTAACACGAGAATGAATTTTAGTAGATGGCACAAGGGACGCTAGCTCTTTAGAGCAGTGCCCATTATAGTATTTGTAGAAAAGAGAAAGAGAAGCAACATTACGACGATGTGACAAAGGTTGGAGATTGGCTGCCAGAGCAGGTCCAATTATGTTTACAATTCGTTTTTGCACCTTGTCTAAAAGAGAAAGAGCATCATTAGAAGATCCGCCCCAGATGTGGCAACAGTATTCCATACAGGGACGGATTTGAGATTTATAGAGATAGAGAATAGAATCTGGAGTAAGAAAGTGTCAAGCTCGATAAAGAGATGCAACCTTAGCAGATGCTAATTTTGCAATGGATTTGATATACGGTTTAAAAGAAAGATCAGAAGTAAGAGTTAATCCTAGAAGATGAATGGTAGATGACTCATCTAGTACATTACCATTCATAAATATAGGAAGATCTAAATTATTACGATAACGATTGGCCGAATAAAATTGAGTTTTATATGAATTAAAGTTCACCAGCCACTGTGAGCCCCATGCTGTAGCAGAAGTGAGATCCTTTTCAAGCTCAGATACCCCCTCCAAGCAATCAGAGAGTGTAGGCTTCTTATCATGACAAGAGTAAATGGTAGTGTCGTCAGCGAATAATGCCACCTTAGATGTGAGAATATCTGGAAGATCGTTAATGTAAATTAAAAAGAGTATAGGGCCAAGGATTGAACCTTGAGGAACCCCTGAAGTTACAGGATGTGAAGAAGAGTGTTGTCCATCGAGGACAACTTTTATACTACGATTGGAAAGAAAGGACTCAATAATCTTGAAGACGTTACCAGCTACACCATAAGAAGAAAGCTTATGGAGAAGACCAGCATGCCAAACTTTATCAAAAGCTTTAGAAATGTCAAGTGCGATAGCCTTAACCTCTCCACCTCTATCTAATGCACGGTAAAACCTATCGGTTATTACTGTTAGCACATCAGCTGTAGAACGAGAAGACCGAAATCCATATTGATGATCAGAAAGTAAGTTATTTGATTCAAGATGAGAGATTAAGTGTTTGTTGATTAAAGATTCAAAAACCTTGCTTATGACAGGAAGAAGACTAATGGGACGGTAGTTAGATGAATCAGATCGCTCTCCGGAATTTTTGAAAATAGGGATAACAGATGCTGCTTTCCAGCATGATGGAAAACAAGACTCTGATAAGCACTTGTTAAATAGTTTAGAAAGTATGGATGAAAGCTCCGGAGAACACCTCTGCAAGACTACAACAGGAATGTTGTCAGGACCACAAGCTGTTGAAGAGTCTAAGCAGGAAATTACTTTAGATACAGAAGCTGAAGTGATGCGAATGTCAAGCAAGGGATCAACCTGTTTGACGGCTATGTCAGGTAAAACGCAACTAGTGGAATCAAGAGATGATATTGATGAAAAGTTCTTAGCAAACAATTCAGCTTTGTCTTTAGGTGAGGTGACAAAGTCTGAACCATACAAGAGAGAAGGAATAACAGATTTGCCCTTATTATTGATACTGTTAAAGATTCTCCAGAAGTCTCGAGAGCCTAATTTTTGTGATGAGATACGAGATTTAATGACCTGGGAATAGCGAGCTTTGGCGTCAGACAAAACCTTTTTACAATGGTTTCTGGCGATAGTGAACAGATGTCTGTTTTCTGGAGAATTGTTTTGCTGATAGATATGGAAGTAACGGTTTCGATTAGAAATTGCTGCAGCGCAATGTGAGGAAAACCAAGGAGAAGAGTGAGGGTTGACCTGGAATTGTCGAGAGGGAATAAAAGATTCCATGCCAGCCTGAATCCACGAAGTTATGTAAGAAGCACATTTGTCAGCAGGAAGACGAAAGATTTCTACCCAAGGGGCATCACGAAGAAAATCACGGAAAGAGTCCCAGTCAGCTTTAAGGTAGTTGTATGTGGTACGATGATAGGGGGATTCTGATGAAGTAGAAGAATTTGATAATAGTTTTAGAGAGATCAAACCGTGATCAGAAGTACCTAAGGGTGAATGTGGAGAAATTGAGCACTGACTAGGATCCAAAACAAGACATAAGTCGAGTAGAGAAGGTAAATGATTAGGGTTGTCTGGAAAACGAGTTGGAAAGTTGACTATTTGAGTTAGAGATTGAGAAAGGCAAAAGTTGAGGGCCTTAACGCCAGCAGAGTCACTGACACTAGAGCCAAGCCAATCGGTGTGATGGGCATTAAAGTCACCAACAACGACGATATTGGCCGATGGATAAAGAGAGAGGGCTTGGTCAATTTGATCAGAAATAACATCAAGAATAGTGCAATCTTGGGATGAAGGAGAGCGATATAGAACAAAGAGAAAGGCGATAGAGTGAAGTTGTGCTAAACGAAAGCACATAAATAAATAGTCTGTAGATTCAAACCTAGTTTCACGACAAATGGGTGAGTTCTTACGAATGTAGATGCCCAGGCCAAGCATGTGATTATTGGAGTCTTTACGAATTAAAGGAAGATAACCATCAACACTAAGATCACAAGATGGGACAGCCGAACTCAAATTAGTCTCACAAAGAGCAAGTAGGTCTGGTGAACTTTGCAAGAGATAAGACTCAACAGAAGAAAAGTTACTTCGAAGACCACGAATATTAGTAAATGATAGGTTTAGAGAACTTGGTGATGACAATGGTTTTTTGTGTTTTTTAGTTTTATGTACTTTAGTCATTTTAAATTTATAAAGAACTTGACTCAAGTATAGATAGTACTCAGTACACTATTTAACAACTAAGCAATAGCCTCATTACTATTAATAAACCCTAAGCCGTAACAAAGGGCTCCAAATGTGGCCTCTGCAATGCACACCAAAAGTACAAACAGGGATACCATCCATGCGCAACATGGCACTGTTAGTACTCTGATATTTTTCGGCTGTTGATGGAATCAGCCTCTCTGAGAGCTACCACAGAGTTCGGGAAACCTGACTACCAGCCGGCCTCAGAACCATAAAACTGAGTTTTAGAGCTGTACCCTCATTAGGAGATAATAGAATGAGTTGCCCAGTCATAAAAATAGAGACACAAGCAATACCCACGCATTGAGTCAAGAAGATCCAGCGTTCAACATCCTAAACTGGAAACAATGTATTAAAAATACATCTGCGCCAGCCTAATAGATGAGGAAGGGGTGCGAGGCTGGTCAACAGATAGAATCTGTTTACCCCTTAAGTCTTTGCCTAGGAGGCCTTCTACAAGACAGCAGCTGGATGCATGTAACATCTGCCCAAGATGAGTATTTTTATCGAGACACCATCTCTAGCCTTTACTCAACCAAGAGCCCCAAGGCAGGGGGTGTTTTAATTCGGAGTTAACTTCTCCTAGCCTTTGCCTAAAAAAGCGTATCCTACAAGGCAGCAGGACATGGAGCAGGTTGTACTGGGTTACATGTTACCAGTAGCAGGAAAACCTGACCTGACAGCAATATATATATTATATATATATATATATATATATATATATATATATATATATATATATATATATATATATATATATATATATATATATATATATATATATATATATATATATATATATATATAAAGTAATAATAATTCCTCTGTTTATATTTTAAATTTATTGAAAAAAATAAGATTATGTTTAATAATGTAATCGTTTTCTCCTTAATTATCCTTACTTTTTCTTTCAAACAAATGTTGTTCGCGACCAAATCTTCTTTAATATTAGGAAAACATGTCCTTAAATCTCCTTAAAATCCTTAATTTTAGCCTTAGTTTTAATAGTGGGAACCCTGCTCTAAGACAACACAAAGTTAAACAATAAATTTTGGTCCATGATAATTGAAATACGTTATGTTTGACTAATCATGAATATAACTATTATATATATTAATATAAGTACTCTACGCTTGTTTATAATTGTAAATTTTCATTATAAAAATAATTATAATACAAAATTTATTGTGGTCAAAACTACAATTGTTTTAAATTTTTTTCAATATATTAAATTGTAACAAATAATTATTTTCAAGTAATAATATAACCTAAAATGATCATCGTTTAATTAGAAACAATCTAAATGTTAGTGATATTGATTGTTTTTGTATTTATTAAATTATATAAAAGATTTTAAACCCTCACCAACTGATTTAAGGGTTTAATGTCAGGTTAACTTGAGTCAAGACTTTAAATTTTAAATGGTATCATAGTAGTCATGTTATTTTATTGTTGTTTACAAGTCTATTTATGTCATACCTAATAAATAACATCAATTATTTACCGTGAAATAACATTGTTTTAGATTCCCTGCAGGATGCCTGTTAAAAAGAAAAACTGAAAAAACTTTAAAACTAGATGATGGCAACAGAAGAAGTTGAAACACTGTTATTCATGGTGTCATATCGAGGCTTCAGTTCTCCAGTATTTATTTTTGTATTTTATTATATATGTTATGTTTATTTTTTATTTTTGTTATTTTTGTAACAACAAACTATGTGAATAATTAATTGTCCTGCCCTGGGCCTCTACTTCAATCTGGCTATTGTTATAACTCGTATATCGATTTATGCACTGTATTGAGTTAGCTTGTGATTTGTACGTGTGTTTTTGTTTGCCTAGTGTTGGTTAGTTATATGGAATATATGGCATGGTATGGCACACTGCATGGTATGCTCTAAATAATATTATCAATAAATATTTTTATGTATATTTTGTAAATATATATGCTATAAATTATTATATTATTCAAATGTTTATTTTTAATTTATAAGATTAGTGTAAAAGTGGATGAACGCACTAAAGAAGCGTAACGATAAACTTTAAAGCAGAATTTTGTCATGCGATTATGGTGGCGATATGAGAGAACTAATGTGGCATAATGTGGTATAATAATATATAATATAATAATATAATGTGGTAATATAATGTGGTATATTATTATCGTAAAACAATTTTGGATCAAATCAATATATAATATTAGTTTTTTTGTTGCTTAAAAGTATTATGAAATTCAAATCTGTTTTTTCAATCGATTCGTAAAAATTATGTCAGACCAATTATATATTTGCCTAATACATTTTATAGCCCTGACAGCGAAATAATTATAGATCATATAAATAACCTTTACTTTTTAGTTTAATATAAAAAAATGCGACGCTTTTTAATCAAAAAATTGTCACATTTCGCAGATTCGAGAAAATATGCGAAAAACAAAATATAAAAAATTGAGAAAACCCGCGGTAAATGAAAAAATATCTGGGTTCAATATGGGATTTCTTGTCAAAAACCCAGACTTATCCCAGATGGGACCCAGTTGGATCTCACTGACAGAATCGCAATGAGACCCATATGGGTCCCAGCATTTTCCCCAGTTGGGTCCCAGTCGGGACCCAGTTGGAATGGTTAACTGGGATGTTATTAAGTAGAGTAAAAGACTTTTTTGTAACTCTTGTTAATTTGTTTATTGTTGGAATAAAGTTATTTTCTAGAAGAGTATTTATAAAGTTCTCAGCATTATTATTAGAAGCAAAGTTGATTAGGTTGATGTTAAAGTCCCTGACCAAATAAATATGTTTCCTCGAATTTTTAAATTTGTTTAGAAATGTTTTAAGATGAGTTTTAAACTTTTTTATATTACCATATGGTGGTTTATAAATACTGTTTGTAATTATGTTTTTTTCAGTTTTATTTGCTAATTCAATGCATAATGATTCACAATCTCTTTCATTAACACAGAGGTCGTTACGTAAAATATAATTAAGTGAATTGTGGATAAAAATACTAACCCCACCTGCATTTAATTCACCTGGTTGGTGAATTGATGTGTAATTAACTAGTTCAAATTCATAATTTGTTTCACCACTTTTACACCAAGTTTCCGTCACACATATAGTTTTAAAATAGTTTTTAATTTCATTTAATAATATTTTTAAATTTTCAAAATTTTTGTTCAAACTTCGAATCAGGGCTGTAGAGTTGGAGTTGCGGAGTTGCATAAATTTGTCAAAAAAAGCAGATGATTTTTTGCTTTTCTTTGCTACCCAATCGCGAGTTATCAATTTATCATAAGGTATGTATGCAAACTTACTAGTCGTTTGCTCAATCTTCATTTTCTCTCTCAAACCTTTCCTGATTTTCGTTGTTTCAGAACAAAAATCCTCGTTTATATAAATGCTTTTTCATTTTAGATTGCTTGACTAGTTCAAAATTGTAACTTTATCTTTAAAATCTAAGAGTTTTATCACTATTGTTTTCGGCTTATTTGATTCTTTTTTTCTATGGGTCCGTTCAATTTGGACATTTTTAATAGATAATAATTCTTCAAAAACTTTTTATACCTTGAGTTTGCTTTCCTATCAGCTTTCATCTTCGTTTTCATTAATTCTATCTATCCTTAAATTATTACGTCGAGATCGATCTTTTATCTCCCTTAACTTTTTTTGTATGAGTGTAATTTCAGAATTTTCTTCTTTACTGCAAACATTTGCTTTCTTAACTTTTTCATCCTTTAGTTGTTCATGAAAATTTAAGCTATGTTTCAATTCTTCTATATCTTTTTCGACTTTATTCAATCTGTCATTAAAAATTTTCAGGTTTCCACTTATAATATCGATAAAAACTTTTTCCTATTGTTTTAACATCAACTCGAATTCTTTTTTTATAGCCCTCAAACAATTTTGTTATTTCTGATAATGTAACAGCCATATTATATAAAAAATAAACTATTTTCTCAAGAAAAATAAATAAAATATACTAAGATAAAAAAGTTAAAGATTAAACAGTAACCCCTTGCCCCCACTCTTCTTTGCTACGCGACTGGATTTATGAATAACGATCTCTACCAGCTGGTTCTGCACATGACACATAACTATCACCCGTTTGATTCAGAGACATTATTGCATCTTATCTCCAGAGAAGAAATACTGCCATAAATTACATTGTAGGACCATTCATTGTAGGCTCTTTCTAATGACCTAAGAAATTTTTACATAGCTTTTGTGCTCCCAACGTCAGATGACTTAAAAGTCAACTCAGAGATTAAAAGCTTTTTAACAAAACCTTTCTAAGCTGCATTTGATTTCTACCTCCCAGCTTGTGGTTGTGTCTCTTGCTGACAGAGATCTAGATGCTGATACCGAAAACAACATCTTTGAAAAGTTGCTGTTTTTTGCAGTCCCAGACACAATTATTGAAAAGCTGGATTCCAGACAGCAATTATTCCAATCATTATTTCATCTATAAATAATTCTTTTAATGACCAAGTTTATTTTCTTTTTCTTCTCCTGCAAATCATCATGGAAAAACTTTGTGGAGGGTGAAATAAATAGCAGTTTGCATGAATAAGACATTTCTTAAGTAATTTTTCAAGTTCTCTACGTGTACAAAACAGTTTGCAGTTTTAAATGATTGGGCTGAACTTTACATTAAGTTTACAATTACTTAGATCACTATAATGATCCAAGTAAATGTAAACTTAATGTAAAGTTCAGTCCAATCATTTAAAACTGCAAACTGTTTTGTACACGTAGAGAACTTGAAAAATTACTTAAGAACTGTCTTATTCATGCAAACTGCTATTTATTTCACCCTCCACAAAGTTTTTCCATGATGATTTGCAGGAGAAGAAAATCATTCCTCTTCATGTGTTCTTCCAATTAAGACTTATAAGTCTTAATTTGAAGAACACATGAAGAGGAATTACTTCAGGAAACTTTTAAGGTACATTAATATAATATATATTAAATAAACTAGATGTCCAACTTGCGGTATTTTATTGAACGAAAAATGAAGCCGCTTTTTTTTATGTTTATAAATATTTGTTTATAAATTTATTTTTCTCCTATTCTATGTTTTTTTTAAAAACATTGAACCAAAATCGATATTATGTTCAATGTCTTGAACATGTCTTAAAATTACGTCCGCTGATTTATAGTTTTTGATAAATTTAGCTATTAAACAACATAAGTGATTAACATTTACCATATGTTGAAACATGGTTATTTATCAATAAGAATATGATATTTATTCACTTTTTATCTAATACTATCAATCGATCTTGGTCTTGTTCTAATACTATAAATCGATCTTGATCTTGCTCTAATACTTTTATAGCAATTTTAATATTAGGGTAGAGTGGGGAGAAGTGGGACACATAAATTTTTTTTAGGGTAATTGCAATACCTTTTTTATTTGATGCATAAACTGAACCAAACAAGTTTTTACGAATAAACCTTCTTTTTAGGCACCGATTTATTTCCCTAAGGTTTTTAGCCAGTTGTAACTAAGTATATAAATTTTTGCTTTTAGAGAAACTGTGCCATTGGGGTAAAGTGGGATAAGTGTGAGTAGAAGTGGGACAATAAATTAAAAACAAAATTTTAATACAAATTGTTAAACAGAAACTAATAAAATCATAGTATCACCTAAACGACATAAAACTGTTCAAGAGCCATCGACTCCAATCGAAATAATTAAATGGCGTGAGGGAAGAAGCTAGGCATAAATATTTCTTTTTTCTGTTCCACTTCACCCTAATGTAAACTCTTTCTTTTTTTTTTTGTTGTTGTATATTTCAAAATAAGGGCTTCTAGCGCACGCAGGGAAACATAGCAATTTCTGGTTAATAGAGGGGAAGAAATTTAATTGTTTAAATTAAATAACAGTATTTAGGCACCAATCCTAATTAGAAATTTCAGGCTGTCCCACTTCTCCCACGTCCGACTTATTCCCACTCTCTCTTACAATGCAAATTCGTCAATAATTTAAACAAGATATATATTTCTTATTTTTTTAAAATATATATTTCTTATTTTTTAAGATATATATTTCTTATTTTTTTAAAATAAGAAATAAATTTTTTGTTTTAAGAAAAGTTTCTTAATAAGAAATGTAATGAAATTTTACTCAATAAGAAAGTTGAAATTTTGTTGTGTACCCTTGAAAGAAATATTGTTGCAATTATGTTGTGTACACTTGTAAGAAATATTGTTGTAAGAAATATTGGTTATGTACTCTTGTAAGAAATATTGTTGCAATTTTGTTGTGTACACTTGTAAGAATTAAAAAATATTGTTGCTATAAAAATTTGTAAGAAATATTGTTGCTATTTTGTTGTGTACTCTTGTAAGAAATATTGTTGCTATTTTGTTGTGTACTCTTGTAAGAAATATTGTTGCAATTTTGTTGTGTACTCTTGTACCCAGTGGGCAAGTGTCGTCTGTAGGACGTCTGCTGGACGTCTCATGGACGTCCAGACGTCCGTAAGACGTCCAACGGACGTCCCCCGGACGACGCATGCCCACTGGGTAAGAAATATTGTTGCAATTTTGTAGTGTATTCTTGTAAGAATTATTGTTGCTATTTTGTTGTGTACACTTGCAAGAAATATTGTTGCTATTTTGTTGTGTACACTTGTAATCTTAATACTAAAGCAAGATTTATTAAAATAAATTTGTTAAATAAAATAAAACAACATTTTAAAACCTTCTTTTTCTAGATAGCTTTTTCCCAATTTTTTCTACCTCTTTATTATTATTTTTCCTTTTAACAATGAGCAACCATCCTTCTATTAGACCTTTTTAATTTAACAACTACACCGTCATTACTTTTTTAAATATAGAGCTTATTTACGTAAAGCAAATATTGAAAAAGCTAATTAATATATAAAGTATATAAAATAAAAATTATTTTGTTAAATAATAAAATTTATTAAACATTTCTTAATTAAAACATTTAAAACAATAAAACATGATATTAACTAAAATAATGTGTAGTTTTTTGTAATTTTGTTAAAAAAATAATTTTTCTAAAAATCTTTTAAAGTATTCTGTTTTAGATACTGTTATAGATTTTCGACTAAGATTTTTTTTTAAAACTCAGTTAATTTTTTTAAAGGGAATAAAGAGGGGATAAGTATAATAATTTTTTTGAGCATAATATAAAAGTATAATAATTTTTTTGAGGGAATAAAGAAGGTTCAATTTCTTTAGTTATTTTTTTCATGCTTTGTCTTTTGTAATCAAAAAATTTCTATTAATAAAAGAACTGCTTTGGAATGACTTATGTTAAAATGCGTCATTGTTTGAGAATATCATTTTTCACAATATTTTTATATTATGAAACAATTTGAAAAATTTATTTTAAAAGTTTCAATTATTTTTAAAGTAGTTTTTCTTTCTATTT